TCAGCAGCTCAGTAGTGGTTTGTTTAGTCAGTTCTGGGGAATAAATGTTTGGTATTTCTTTCTGCTTTATAAGTAATTTTTATGGAAATACTACCTCTAAATGTATTAGTGCAGAAATGGAAACATAAGTCAAAGATCATCTCTGGATACTGTATTTAAACTCTGTATATTAAAAAGTAGCTTGATTTTTCACAAAACTTAAAGAAACTGGAGAGACCCCTTGAACAATTAATACCTACTTCTATCACCTTGAGAATCATACCAAATGAGTACTCGCTGTCATAAGACTATGTAAACCAATGTACTTTCTAACTATGCAAATTGCTGGCAAAATTATTGATCTTTAAATTGTGAGTGTGGTATTACTTCATACACATATCTCTAATTTTTTTTGAAAGAATTACTGTGGATCCAGATGACTTCAGGGAATGTATTTCTTGCTGAAAGCATTTGCTAACATTGCATGTTTGCAATCCTGTTTTTGTCTATATGGTCAAAATAACAAGAATTTTTGATGTTTTAGTGACTCTTCCCCACATGTTTCATGTATCTCTTTATCGGGTGGTGAAAATACACTTCATTAGTTAAAGATTGGTTTTGTCAGTATACATATAAAATAATTTTTCAATGGAGGCTCTCTTGCAATGGCATACTGCTGTGATCTTAGATTTAATACAGTAGGCTTACACTAAAATAAGGCATTAGATTAAAACCAAAAAGCACTTTCTTTTTGTTAAGTATATTTCATCCTGAAAGAATTCTGTGACATCAGCTTTACCTTCTCTACTATCTCCATCAGTCTCTCAAGTGTGGTGGAGAGCCTTTTAGGCATTGTCTTACAAGTAAGTTGGAGGCTCCAATGGTGGAAGTGTTTTTAAAAATAAACCCTTCTTTGTTAAACAGCACGATGGATGGAATAATTAAGCAAACAAATTTAGTGCTTTTTAATAGTTTTCAGATTAAGAGGAAATTACAACATGGATCTTTCTGAATGGTTGAAATGAGTGCTTTTGAACACTTTGAAATATAATTGAAATAATCAAAATAAAGTGTGCCGGCAAACACCGAGTGCAGTGTCCATGGTGCTGCACTGACCACTGGCTTTTCTTGAAAACAGTGTTTTATTGCTTTTTTTTCTTTAAGATATCTATGAAGTGTTTTATGTTTTAATTACCAGCATATTGTCTGTTGGCATGAGATACAACCACATTGCCTAGAACAAACAGTGCTAAATGTGTTTTGTAACTGTCTCTTTTCTGTTGGATTATCAGTGAGTGGAATCCTAATTTGCTTTGATTTGCTAGCTCATATTGTAAAAGATTCCTGCTTTTATCTTCC